TTTTTTTAGAATACAACGCCGTTTTGTATTTTTGGTGTGAATGCTGCGCTTTGCTATTGCGCTGGCAGTAACTGTTTTCGTCATTCCTGGTCTATAGTGGTGAGCAAGCACACACATATCAATTTGAACAAGCACCACAAGTAATTAAATACAGGAGTTTTTGCTGCAGTTGTATCATGATAATGAAAAGAAAACTCTGCAGAAGTTCAGAGCACTATTTGACTCGTATAATATAGATCATAAGGCTCAAAGGAAGAACCTCTGGTGTTTCTTGAAAGCATTTCGGTATCGATTTTACGGTAAGAATTTGAACTTTAAACTGCCGTTACTGAGCAGAAGTGTTACAATGACTGTTAGCAACATATTCACTATGCGCGCTAAGCATATGACGATTTTAGGGTCCCCAAGTGCGACAGGAAAGCTCGAAAAGTCAAAACTTGAAGTTTTGTACCAATTGACATTTGCCTGAATTGATCAGCTAATTTTGTGAATGTAAAACTACAATTACTGAGGGAAAAGAGAAGAGAGACTCGTAGATAAGAGGTGGAGGGAAGAGCGTGGGAGAGAGGGGGAAGAGGGAGGAACAGAAAGTGTTCAAATGATGTTTTCCAGAATGTTGGTGAAAATACGCTAAAAGATCCGAATTTTTAGACATTTCCAAAGGGTATTTCCGAGTACAGCTGCAAAACTCTCCCTCAAAATTTGCTTCCCGTGTCTGCTAACTTCCATGGTCTGTAGAAGCTTAAAGAACTGTACATGTACTACTGAGATGATACAAAAGCACACATACGCATGCGTGGAGAACTTCCGCAACTCCACTTAATTTCAGGAGTTGAGATACCGGACTTGATACCTGACTACCGTAGTACCAATTTGGAAGAAGATTGGAGAAAATTTTACGAAGAAATTACTAGGTAACGAGGCATTCATCACTGTTTTATCAAGCGATATCTTTCTATGAGATACTCTTCCAGACGTTTCCCAGAAGAAAAGGATGATGAAAAGAAAGGAAAAGACAACGGTAAGAAAGAAGATGGCGACGAGAAAGAAGACAAGGGAAGTACCACAAAGGGAGACGAGCGAGAAAAACAAGACACGACTGAAAGCAGTATCATAAAAGGAAAAAAACGGAAAGATCGCGTCATCGCTGTGGCGGCTTTTATGGGAGGTTTCAATGCTTTAACAGTCTGCGCAATTGTAACGTTCTTTATTTGGTATAAAAGTTACGTGAAAAAGCAAAAGCAGAAGCAAGTCAGTTCGCAGGCGGCTGATGAACAAGTAAGACCGACTTTTTTTTTAAAAACTACATGCAATAGCTTAAATTCTGATTTGCAGGCAAGTGAATCTTCTTCAACAATACCTGGTGCTCCTTCACCTGTAGCTGCCTCACCAGCGAGAGCTCTAGGCGCTACTCCAAAAGCAGCCTCCTCTCCAAAACCAGTTGAACAGCAATCTGTCAAAGGATTTCCAGGAGTTTCCTCAGGACCACCTAAAGCACCAGCACCTGCAGCTCCCGAGCAGTTTGTTCCGGAGGGTATTGTACCTGATCCTGCTCCACCACCTGATTCGCTTGACGTTAAATTTTGAGAGATATAGTGATATTGTAACATTCATACTACCAATATTCTACAAACTTCAAACTTAGTTTTATTCGTTTGTGTTTAAGTGATTCATAAACGAGCTTTTGTTGCTGTCACAATTACAGTGGTTCTAATGCAAGTCTAACAAGGTGTTAAAGGTCAAAAACTAAAATGTTCTAAGATGGAAAGAATTATTCACCTAAGAGGGATTACAAGTTTTGAGCACGAAAGTGACAATGTTTGCCTAAGTAGATTCTGGAGCAAACATATGGCCGCTCATGTACCCAGCAAATCGGATTACTTCTAAAGAATGACTACACTATGAGATTGATTTTAGCTGTCTCTCGGATGCGATCAAAGGCTTCAGCAGGTGTGACATAAGATTTTGAGCTCTGGGTAGACTATGAAGTTGGTATTCAGGTGTTGCATTGTTGACAGCAATTTCGATCGGGTTCATCGCGAAGATGCAAGAAAGCACTGCTCAAAACACTGAAGCATTAGTACATCAGATTCACAGGAAGATTTACGTTGGAACTGTATCACAAGTTTTAAGGTACAGAGAGACGTCGCAGCTTATGCGCGTGCAGATCTTGATCTCCAGAAAATAAAATGCGTAAGGTGGAGTTACAAAAAGAGCTTTAGTGCGACCACTATCTGTTATGATCTACTTTTGCATTGACTGGGAGTGATGACCAAACCAGATGTAATTTGTAAGCCCACTTTATCGCTAAGTCCGTCCATTAGGTCTGAAAAATGGTCAGAAAACATTTTCGCAAAAGCGGCGTAAGTCCGAGACGGACGCGCTGGAGCCGAGTCGCTAGTGCACCCGGCACTACCCGACTGAGACAGCCTGTAGTTGGCTCGCGATATATGTCACGTCTAAGAGCACTAGCTCAAGCTTAAAGGCAGTGTCTCACGAAAATTTGATTGTCGGGCTTTTTTCATTTTACAAGCTTATCGGACCCTGTCTAACACTGCAGATGCTTGAGACCGCACAAAGTTCTTAAAGACCCCATTTCTTGGAGG